ACTTGAATTGGAGTACCATCATTGAATCAATAAATTGAATAGTTTCAGATTTGAAACTTGTTTTCTCCTCTCATGTTGGACTTGGTTCAATTTTCCGGTGAATATTTCATGAATATTGAATAAATAAGATCAATCTGGAGAAGATAAACTTCATTCATTAAGACGAGAACAATATAATAAATTCCTCAATAGTTCACTGATCCATCTCAGTCATCATGAACCAATTCGTCACCAGCAATATCAGGTTGCAGTTGAGTGGCTCGGGTACAAGTTGTTAGACGGGTAGGTTTTCAAAGTAGTTGTGGTACACCGGAGGAATATAAGGTAGCAGACTAATCATGTAATTTTTTTAGCTGAAGTTACAGGCCTCCGGAGTAGTTTGAAGGAATTCTTGTTGGACATTTTTCACAGACAATAATGATAAAGATAGAAAGCCCTAACTTCGAGTGACAGGGGAAGGTTTACCAACTTCCATTGGATGGTCTGTCAACCGTTTGGTATAAGACCTGAGTTCTGGGGGTATCCTCTATCTAGCGCAGCCACTGTCAAGGAGAACTCCATCCCAACGCCACACTCCAAAAGTTAGCGGGGAAAGTTCCTATCCTTATTCTTTATTTTAATTCCTATACTTTTACAATTTTGAATTACCTATTTTTTATGTTAGTATCCTAGTATATGTATATACATTGTGGCTATTTTGATTCTATTTATAGCCGATATTTACCTCACTTCCTATTGACTATGTGTTATGTCCTATTCTATTCTATTCTATTAATGTGTGTGTGTTGTGTTTCCTAATTGTGTATGCATGTGATTTTGTGTGGTCTGTGTTTTTGTATCCTTAAATCTATTATTTACATATTTGATTATTTATTTACATCTTTGCTTCTGTGTATTTGTTGTTTGTGTATTTTTGTTTTTGTGTGTGTGTGTGTTGATAGTTTGGTCTTGGTGTTTTGGTTGTGCTTATGTATATTGGGTGTTCCCGTTTATTATTGTTATGTGTTAATTCTATCTGGATCCTCTTTGATCATTCTCCTGGCGAAGTCCTTGATTACTTCTGGGTGTTTTTAAAAATCTCTCAGGTCTGTGAGGTATGTGTTCTCTCTTTGCTGTAACCAGTGTGATAGTGTTTTTCTTGGCGTTTGTCTGTCTGTGTCTGTACATCTATAAAGCATGTGTTCCGTGTCCTCTGTTTCTTGTAGTGTGCAGTGGTCGCATTTCCGTCTGTGGTTCTTAGTTTGAATCGTTCGTAGTAGCCGTTCATGTGTCCGTGTCCTGTGAATAGTTGTACTGCTATGTTGTCTATGTCGAGTCTGGTAGTTTTAACTGTTTTGAGTTGTCTATATAATGTGCGTTCTGTTGTTGCGTTGTCCCATTCTCTTTGCCATGTGTCCCTCTTATCTTTTCTCTTGTTCTTATTCATTTGTGCTTTTGTTGTGATCGCTATTTTTACATTTGTGGGTCGTTCGGCCATTTTTGCAGCTTCTTCTGCTACTATATTTTCTATATCATTGTGTCTTTCAGCCCAGCTGAGTTCTATTTCATTTTCTCTTCCTTTAAAGATATTTTTTTGTATGAGGATGGCTATTTTGTTTTTCGTGTCGTGTTTGTTGATTGTCTGGATTGCTGTTTGTGAGTCGGTTATTATTCGTGTATTGTGTGTTCTGTTGATTTTCCTTGTTTCTTTGGTTGCCACTAGGATTGCGGTTAGTTCAGCGTCGTTTCTTCCATTCCTGGTTTTGTGTTTGGTATGTTATTCCTATGCCTGTTCTCAATTCGTTTTTTGTTGTGTCTGTGTAGATATTGATTGTTTCTGTAGGGTTATTGTCTTCCAGTATGTGTGTTATTCCTCTGTCCGTTGGGTGTGGTCTGTCCTTTGTTCGTATTTGTCTATCTTGTCTCGTGTCGTAGTAATCTTCATAATATTTGTTATTTATGTGTGCTTCTATTTCTAGTGGTATTGTTCCTGCAATAAGGTGAAGTGCTGTCGTCGGTGTGGTCTTGTATGCTTTTGATATTGCTGATAGGTAAGGTCTTTCAGTCGCTCTAAGGTGTCTTTGTATATGTGTATTCGTCGCTTTGTTCCCCCATAGTTCGGAACCGTATAGTATAAGTGGTTTCACAGCTCTCTCGTATATGGTTCTTCTGATCTCCGGGTGTGTTCCCCAGGTTTTGCCGCCTATAATGAATATCTTCTGGGCTATTTCTGTCGATTTTTTTCTAATTGTCTTTATGTAGTCTTGCCATGTTCTACTCTTGTCGATTGTGAGTCCCAGGTATTTTATGTTGTCTTGTGGTGTAATTTGTTGTCCATCTATTTTGAGTCTTGGGTTTCTCTGTTTTCTGTTATGCCCGGGTATGAACATTGTTTCTGTCTTGTCTGCATTGTAAGTCAGTTTGTTATCTGGTTCCCATGTCTTGCAGCGCTGCCAGACGGATTTCCACCTGCTCTCGATCTCCGCGAGTGAACTCCCCGAGATCAGGATCACCTGGTCATCCGCGAAGGCTTGGTAGAACACCCCATCTCCGGGGATTAGTTCAAACCATCCTTCCATAAGGACCAGCCAGAGTATAGGTCCCAGGCTGGATCCATGTGGGCAGCCCCGCTCAGTGTCGATTGTTATGTTGTTTGTGTGTACTGTTCTGTCTGTTAAAAAGTCGTTAGCAACATGTATGATGTCTGATGTTATTTCTAATTCTACTAGTTTTTGGGTTAATTTCGGCTTCCAGGCTGTATTGAAGGCATTCGTTAGGTCTAGGGTCACCATTAGTGTGTGTAGTTTATTCTGTTCGTTGTCTTGTATTGTGTCTGTTATATTTTTGATTGCGTCTATTGTCTTGTATCCTTGTCTAAAGCCGTATTGGGTGTTTGATAGTTTGTCATGTGTTTCTAGTTGGTATGTAAGTCTGTTTGTTATAATTTTGTCGTATATTTTTCCTAGCGTGGGTAGGAGGCAGATGGGGCGTCGTCTCTTTTTAGGCTTTGGTGCACATATGATTTCCGCTCTTTTCCATATTTTCGGAAATTTTCCTTGTTCGAAGTAGTCATTGTATAGCTGGAGCAGTTGTGTTCCTATTATTTCGTTTACAAATCTCATTGCCTCGTTTGGTATTCCCCTATTTGTTGTGGCTTTGTTCGGTTTCAGTGTCTCTATTGTGTTTTTTAATGCTTGTTCTGTAATCTTTCTGTCTCTGCGTTGTGGTATGTTCCTTAGATTCGAGTTGTGTTCTCTAATTGTTTTGGGTGTGTCAGTATCTGCTTGTCTATCGTCTGTAGGGGAGTAGTTTGCTAGCATCTGTATCGTTGTCTCTGTTTCGTTTGTTGTCCTTGTGCCATCCTTTCTTTGTATTGTGCCTAGTGTTGTGTTTTGTGTCTTCCGTCGTTTTATTATATCGTAAGCTACTTCCCACGGGTCGTCCTGTCTTTGTTCTTCGAGGTATTTGTGCAGAGCCTGTTTTTTTGCCTCTATTATTTGTGTCTTGTATTGGTGTCTTGTTTGAGTGTAGATTAATTTCAGGCCCTCTTTTACTATGGCGTCTCTTTCTTTCTGCCATTTTCGTCTCGCTTTGTTGGTTTCTCTTCTCTTCTCTTGTATAGCAGCATTCCACCATGTTTTGTTGTTGTTGTTCTGTCTTGATTTTTTTGTGCAGGATTTTCTATGGCTTTTACAATGTGCTCTTGTAAATTACAGGCATCCGTCTCTATGTTGTTTGTTTTTGTAGGTATATTCCCAAGTAGCAATTTAACGTTGCGGCGACGTATTCAGAAAGGTTGCGCAACCAAACTTAAGCTGCGTTACCGACCTTATAACAACGTTGTCACAACCCTGTTTTGCACCAATTTGGTCAATCATTTTTGGGTTTTTGAAACGTTTCAGTTTCAACTGTAGGTAGCAGTTGGTCGTTTCGTAAACGTTGCAGAATTAACTGAAGACAACTAACTACACCAGCGCCCTCTAGCGCGGCTATAACAGTTCGCTTCTCATGGTGTTTAGAAGATAGTAAATTTCTCAACCAAATAATTACTGATGGCAAAAATGGATACTTAGAGAAAACTTTCTGACAACTACCTACTATCCGCATCTCAATATCGAAATGTTATATCCTGATGCTTGAGATACCATTTTTATATTGACGAAAAATAGCGATAATAATCAAAAGTGACCAACGCATCTCATTTTACTGTCAAATATACTATTGTTTCATGCCAAAAAACGCGTGCCCCTTCAATTTGTTGCGAATTTCCAGAATACAAGAATTAAAAAAAAAACAAAATTACAATATTTCAGATGAACACTATCTGAAGTTGTTATTGATTCAACCAAGAACTGAACGGGATATATGATAATTGTTTCTAGAACACGAAAATGAGGCATTATAATCCTTTGCTTATGTTTGTTTACGTCCCAAATTCCAATAACGACCATGTTTCTGAAGATATTCACATATTAAACATGGCGTAGGAGTATAATAGGCGTTAACGCGACATCGGATATCAAATAACTAAAAAATATACTAATTTTCAACTAAAGTATGCCAGACAACTAACTTTTTACCCGAAGCACGACTGGAGTAACATATCCGACCGAAAACTGCACCCAGTACAACTAGCGAACACATTTTGGAACGTGCCTCTCCTCTCTCTCCGTATCTCAGCTGTCAGCAGTGTCAGTTGTCATTGTCATTGATGTCATTGTCATTTGTGCATTTACCTCATGTTTACATAATTACCATAATTGTTTATTTTATCCGAAAAGAAAGAAATTATCCCGTATGGCTGACAATTTCAAAGTGGTTTATATAAAGAGCACTCAAGAGGTAGAACCGATACCCCACCAATGGGAAGAGAATGGGACAGTATACTGGCCCCCTACAAAGGGGCAAGTTCGGCAACAACAGTCCAACGCTGGTAGTATACCTGATAAAAAACATGGAAAAAATATGATTGTTTGGTAAAAGCCAGTAATATACTTCTGTATATGCACGCTTCTGCCCAGGCAGACCAAATATGTGCACTTGAAGACAGTTCATCTGACTACAGCACCACAGCTAGATGATGAAAAAGGAAAAATAGATCCATCAAAATCTCTGTCTACTTCCAACAAAAGAAAAAGTGTCCTTAAAAAGAATATATCTGGACTGCCTGCTTATGATTTTAACTTTAATAAACAGAAGACAGTAGAAAAACCAATAGAACATCAATGTGTAACCCAAGATTCTGAAACACTAACCTCCACAACTATATCAGTAAGCTCTGATGTTGGAATCAGTGAATCTGATGAAAATACATTTGTCAATGACTCTGATGTTCTGGAAAAGCTGTCCATACTGGAATCTAAAGTGGACAAGTTAACTAAAGACTTGAAAGAATGTGAGTATTCAAATGATGACTCAACCACCATACAAGAGTTGAATTCAATCAGTGTATCACAAATCTATATAAGTATGCATTAAACATTATATTTTTCCTTGTTTTAGGTAAAGAAAAAATAGTGGAAAAAATAGTGGAGAAGTGTGCTGATATTTCTGTGCGTCTTGACAATCTTGACACTATATTGAAGAAAACGGAATCTACCTTGATTATTACGGAAAATGAATTACAAATATTTCCAATTGACAGGGTACCTGCCTTAGAAAAGTTGGAGAAAGATCTGGAGGACAAGGCCTATAAAAAAAATGTTTTCGCCCACCTGACCAGATGTATTGGATCAGCACTGCCATCTAAAACAGCTTGCTACAAGTTGGCAGGCATTATGTTCACTAAACAGCTACTCACTGAATACTCATGGACTGGTATGAGTAGAAGCTTAGAGAAAAAAGCCTTCAACAGATTAACTGGGATTTTGGACATATTTTATAATGTAGTATTCAAATCAGACAATTCCTTTACATACCCAGGAAGGGATAGTTTCTTTCGTGATTGTATACTTAAACATAGTAATACACGCTTGAAGTTAAATAAAAAAGTCAAGGCCCCAGCAGAAACCCAGGAAACTAAAGAAAATGAGGAAAATCAAAATCCTGTGACAGAAACCCAAGAAGAGCCACAAGCAAATGAGGAAACCATCAATTCTGTGGATTCTGATAAAGAGGAATTGTATGAGTATTTTGTAGTGGAGGAGGATGGGGAGCTTACAAAGACCCATCAGTAATATATATTGATAAAAATAATTTCTTGATTAAACTTTTTTATTTTATTAGTTGATCACACATTTAGTTTGTTTTCAATCGTTTGCTGTTGAATAATAAAAAAAATCACCTATTACTTTTTTTATACATTTTAAGAACAGATGAACTCTAGTTTTCAATGTGAAATATTTTTTTCTCAATGAAATATTCTGTAGATGTTCATATAGATTGGTGCAATATAAAAATAAAAACAGAATTCAAAAACATGTATTTTTATTTATGAAAATATGTATCTGTACAATTTTTCAATGACTCTTTGAAAGCAAGGCAAAAGAATCATTTTGGCTGAAGAATAACAATGCAAACACTTTTGTAGCAATACAATTTTTATTTATTGAATATGTCTAAAGTATGAACAAGTGGTAAAAAAACTAATTGATTTTTATAATTCATGCTAACCAATTTGCACTTTATTTCCTGTTCCTTTATACTAATATTTTCACTATAAATTTCCTTACAAAAGTATATATTTACATTAGATGAAGGGAACGGATAGTCAAAAAAATTGAATAATTTTTTTATTTTGGACCCAGAAAATATTAAATCATTGTTGGTTTTGAAGATACAATGTATTCTAAGTATTTCATTGTTTCTAGTAAGCAACCATTGATCTTTAACATTAGCTGCAAAACATATTCCATTTTTCAGTAACACTTTTTTAAATGCTAAATTAACATCTGCTGGTTTTTGGTGTGGGTCTAAAATTTTCATACTTCAAAGAAAATTGTTTATTTGAATGTAAATTTACTGGATGATTTTTGGATTCCAGTTCTCGCTTAGCTATTTGTGCTAATGGTCTGTATCCACTTTTCAGACGATTTTTTATCATGCCCAATTTGTTTTCAAATGGGTAAGAACTGAGCTTCTCTAGTGGTCCAAAACGTCTAACATCTTCTACTACATGGCAGAGATTATGAATATTACTGGTAATTGCATGTATACCATAAATATTAATGAAACCTTCAATATAGTCTTTAAACATTTTTCCAGCTAGATCAAGTTTTACAGAAAAACATGAACAAGAGCATAGCAAAACTGCACAAAAAAGTAATAGGAAGTGATTGTAAAGCTCACTGGGCAAATTTTCTTTCAGAATGACTGGCCCAAGATAGTACAAAAAGGTTCTGTACTCAACACCTTTCCAAAAAGATAGACAACTTAGGCTTCTAACTGATCGATGAATCTCACTAGGAATCCTTTCATTTGACTTCTGGAGCCATGCAGAAATATCATCAATTTGGTGATTGAAAAATTTCACTTGAATATCTTTACAGCCATGTACCCAATAGTTAAGACATCTTTTGATTAGTCCCAAATGTACAAGGTGTAAGGAATCTGCAATTATGATGTCTCGAATCATATCTATGGGAAGTTGTTCTAAAGGGGAAATAATAAATTCTTCATCTTGATTTTTCTGATGATGATTGGCATCAGTTTTTGCCCTGAATTCTTCATCACTTCTTAGTGGGCAGTCTATTTGAGGAAAACTCATTCTTCTTTGCTGGTTATAGTACTCACCTACTACAGTACATCTCAAACAACTGTGATAGGCATTAAAAGGCACTACACCTAAAAACAATATTGAAACAAGTGAATAATTTGAAAACAAATTCTGCACAGCACAGGTGAATAGCTTGTTTGAGTCATACTCACATTTAATAAAGCTGCGGGCTGGAGTGTCACAGATAAAATTATCAATTTTTATTGAAAACTTAGTACTGTCGACATGAATACCAGACTGCAAGAGCTTCTGAAGTTCATCAACAAACTTTTGTAAGTACTCTCCCACAGATGGAGGCTTACTGTCCCCAGAGAATATTGCTACTATTTGTGGAGCAAATTCATCAACATTTGTCACATTAACTAATACTGGCCAGAACTGATATTTAGAACTATTCGCAATGGGCAATCCATCTATATTGAAGCTTAAATTAAGCTTGTTCAACTCATTTTTGCCAATATAATTTTCAATGCTAGATAAGCAATTCTCCAATCCATGGTACCAAAAGTATCCATTACCCATTTTTTCAATACATACTGTTCTAGGAGTACCTATTAATGTTCTACTGTCCTTAGGTAATCCTGATACCCCACAAGATATCAAATTTTGCAGCAGTGCATTAATTGCAACATGAGGTACATGATATTCTAGCACCCAATTAGGTAAAAATTGTCGTATTTTAGAGCCTAATGTATCTTCTACAGTTGGTGAATCTGGCCCCTGTTCTTCATCTTCAATGATCTCTACCACTTGAGTAATCTCTTCCACTTGAGTAATCTCTTCCACTTGAGTAATCTCTTCCTCTGGATTGATCTCTTCTACATTATTGAGTTCTTCCGAGGATTCTGTCATTTGACTAAGCTGTTCCTCATGATGTTCATCCTGAATAAATTGTTGGTCCTCTGGAAAATTTGTTAATTCTTCAAGACATAATCTTTTTTTTTTGTCTATAATAGGAGGCAGTGTATTTGAAGGCTCGTTTCATTTTTGATTTAAGTCAAAAAAAACCATTATTAAATTTTGAAAATCTTTTTTCATGATTAGTCACATCTTTTTGTAAATGAAATTTTGAGGTTATATAGGATCTTCATCTTTTACTAGATATATACTTTATTCAATGGATATTTGAAAAGAGGTTAGTTGCAAAAATGACTACGCGACAACGTTTTTGATCCAACTAAAAATGGCCCACTGCATAGTTAAGTCTTATAAGGTCGGCTCAATGTCGGGAAAACGTTAAACATAACTAGAGTTGTCACTTAAAGGTTTTTAGAACGTTATCACTATTCCCAAAATGTTTACTACATTTAGTTAGTTGGGTAAACGTTGTAACAACGTCGTAGTTCAACTAAAGTCATGCTCAACATCGAGACGACGTCGAGTCGTTTAGGTAGCGCCGTTTCATGAATGCCTAAAAACTACACCAAACGCAACGTTAATTTTGGTGTATTATGTGGTTGTCGTCGCCAAAATGCTACTTGGGTTGTTTTGTAGTTTCATTAGAAATGTAGTCCAGTCTATGTTTGTAGGTTTGAATATGGTTTTTTGTTGTTGGAATGTATTTTGTATTTGTATTTGTATTAGTATATATTTGTGGTCGCTAAGTGTCTCTTCATTTCACACATTTCATGTGTCTTGTTATATTTTCTATGTTTCTTGTTAATGTCATGTCTATCCAACTACGTCCTCTCTCACAGTCATACGTTGGTTCGTATTCTATGGTGTTTTCTATTATGAAATTGTGTATTATCGTCCATTCTAGGAGCTGTTCTCCTCTCTGGTCTGTAGTCTCTCCTCCCCAGGCTGTGTTTTTTGCATTTATGTCTCCCCCTATAATAATTCTACCTGTCAACGAGTCGATTTTTTCTCCGAGTGTGTTCAGTCGTGTGTTTATGGTCCCCCCTGGTTCGTCGTAGATGCTTATAATAGTGATAGGTCCTGTCTTTGTGTCGATTTTTATCCCTATGGTGTTGTTATCTGTTATTTCTGTTATCACGCTGGTTACCTTTGTTGTATTTTTTGATAGAATCGCGTTTTTTGATTTCTCTGAGTGTTTGTGTATTTTGTATTGTTGTGGTGGTGTCATTTTGTGATATGGTTCTTGTATTATTACTAGATCTATCTTGTTTTCTTCTATGTATATCTTCATCTGTTCTTCTGCAGCTCTTCCTCTTCCCATGTTGAATTGTAGTATTTGTAGAGGTATTTCTATTTGTTGTTCTTGTCTCTTTTCCTGTTCCTTCGATTTCTTACGTTCTTTAATGTTTTTTGTGTTTTCTCTATGATTTTCTGTTTCTTCTCTGCTCATATTTTCATCTAGTCAATGATAGGTAGTTCCTCTTCGTTCCATTTCTATCCTTCTGTTATATACTGGGCAGTGTGTGTCCCTTGCAGTGTGCCTTCTTCTCTGGTAGTTCATCTTCTCACAGTTTGCACAGTTAATTTCTTCGCTTCTGCAGTCCTTTGCGTTGTGTCCTTGTCCGCATTTGTAGCATACTGCTGGTTGTGTGCATTTCTTTGCCGAGTGGTTGAATCCACAGCAGTTAAAACACATCGATACTTCGTTATTTTCTCTCACGTATAGGCGCATCAGGTCCATGGTTATTATCTCTGTACGCATGAGTAGTTTAAAAATGGGCGGGTTCATTTCGAGGATCCAATTCTCTTTTCTGCTGTCTCTGCATGCTCTCTCAGTAAGTACTTTGATCGAATCTATGTCCTCTATCTTTTGCTCCTTCAGTAATATTGCATTCTGTTGGATGAATTCGTGCCGAAATTCTTCGTTGGTGTAACCTCCTAAGACTCCAGTAATGGCGATTCTTGGTTGTTTTCCTCCTATTGTCTTAATCTCTCTCTTCTTTATCTCTGCTTGTGGATATTATTGCTCCTTTGTCAGTAGTTTTTATGTTTTGTAGTCCTTTATTGGTCATATCCTGATCTATGTTTTTCCTTATCTCTGCGATCAATTCCTTAGGTTTTAGTTCTCCTAATTCTCGTTGCGATTTGTTTTTCAGATATATTATTGTATCAAAGTTGTTCCTTTTTTCTGGCGTTTGCCATTCTTGTGGTGTTTTGATTTCTCCGTCCTGTTTGTCTTTTGTTCTATTCTGTCTATCCAGTATTTCTGCGTATGTTTCTCTTTTTCTTCTTCTGTTTCTTTGTGTTTTCCAGTTTTCTTCTTCTTGTTGTGTACTGGTTTCTCCTTCTGATGTCTCCCCCTGTGTGGTTTCAATTTGTTTGTGTTGCGATGTTGATTCTGGTTTTGTGGATTGCTTTGTGTTTCTGTCCGATGATTTTATTTCTTTTCTTAGCTCTGTAATTTCTTTTATGATCTCTATGTTGTCTCTGTTTGTCTCGCTGTTTGTGTATGATTGTTGAGTTTTGTCCATTGCTGTCTTGATTTGTGTCATATTTTTCCTGAGGTCTTCGATGGTTTCCTGTTGTAGTAGCGTATGGTGTTCT